ACTGCTATAGAGTGAGCCTTTTGCCCCATTGCTGGGGCAAAACGCCCCTACCCTGGGCCTTTTACCCCAAATGTTAATAGCTTAAAATATTCCTTTTTTACAATAAAAATTTATTGCAACAATACACTTTTTACTAGTCACAATATATTTGTGTGTAAAAATGTCCAACAAAAGTTTTAGTAGAACACTTAGCACCATAATATTAGCAAGTAGCACCATATATGCTATCATGTGACAATGGCAAGCAGCACCGTAAAATTAATAGAGCTAAAAAGAGCTAAAAATTTATAGACTAAAAAGATAGCTATAAAAACTAATTTATAGAGCTGAAAAACACAGCTAAAAGCTAATTCATAGAGCTTAAAAGTTGCTAAAAAAAACTAATTCATAGAGCTAAAAAGATATCTAAAAAAATAATTCATAACCCAAAAAGACAGCTAAAAAACTAATTCATACAGCTAAAAAGACAGCTAAAAAACTACAGTAAGACTAGTTGAATTGATTATGCCTATTGGCAGTGAAAGCAGACAGCAGTGTCATCAGGACCACAGCCGTCGTGGTACCAGTTGAGACATTCTGGGCATTGCTGCCAGTCATCAATGGGTGGTTCGTTAAATCTTTTACCACACATGCAACATGGCGTATCATCACTGTTAGTAACAGAACCTGCACATCTTCGTTCTTTTGACCCTTTTCTTATCACGTTAGCATTCGATGCGTTACTTTTGATTGTCCTTTTTGATTTTGTTCTCGCATATGGCTTCCTTTTCCCGGTTTCTTTGTCATCTCCACTTTTCGTTCTCTTGGATTTGTCTGCGATTACATCGATTTCGTCTTCATCATTTTCCTCATTATTATTTTCTACTTACTTTACTACTACTTGCTTGTTTTGTTTTGTCTTCTTTGCATTTGCTTCAATTAACATTGCTTTATAAGGACTAGAAGTTATTACAGTTGCTGCTTCGGTTTTTCGTTTGCGACTGCGTACATTCTTTATCCTTGGAATAGGGCTTAGTTCTGATATAATCTGCAATGCTTCGGATAAACCAGGATGATCAGCTGTTTTATCTAGTTGATTTTCATCGGACTCATTGCTATCTCCTGTTGCAATCCTATCAGTCTCCATCACATTAACCGATGCTTCATCATCTACCGCATTGCCGGCTTCTTCATTTGTATTCGTAGGTTCACTTGTTTCGTTTCTAGCTAATAATGCTCTTTCCATCATTTGGATGTGTTTAACAAGATCTTGTTCAATTTCAATAGGAAAATTATTCACATGATTTCCTAATTTATTGCTCCCAACTTGTCTTACTTTGCCCTGCAAATGCCTTCTCAATGTCTTCTTTGAAACTCCCTTACGTTAAAATTAAATTATTACCAAAAAAATCTAGTTAAATTAAAAATTTTTCTCGCAATCAGAGTGTACATTGAATTGCGTGACTTTCTGAGTAAATTGAGTCGTAGAGTGACGTGATTTAAATCATTAGGCATTATGAATTGCGGGAAAATAAATTGCAATCAAGTGTTATTTATTTTCCCGCAATTCATAATGCCTTCCAATAGCGCATTTAAATCACGTCACTAGCGCATTTAAATCACAAACAGCATGTTCATTATAATGAACATGCTGTTTGAGAATCTAATATCTTTTTAATTTTTGTTAAAGAAATATATAAATAGTTCCTATATCATGATTATTTTATATTATAGATTTTATGAAAATTTTATAAACTTGTTAACATAAATAGGCATAAATTTGGTTGTATTAATAATTATTATTGTATTTAAACTATACTCTAATTAATTTATAAAAATTAATAATAAAAATTGTTATATATTTATTTTATATATTATATATATATATATATATATATATATATATATATATATATATATATATTTAAAGTATGAAAGTTTGTTGTATTTTTAACACGATACTATTAAATTTAAAATGTTTTAGAGAAAGCCTGAATACAACTCATGGAGAGGCTGATAGGTAGGTTTTTTAATTAGGGCATTTTTATGTAGGTAATGTTATTGGGCAGCAGCTTTAAGGCTTACCTATTTTCTATAAGTTGTTGGCATAGGGTGGGAGGGGGTTATTTAGAAAATCATACTTTCAGTGCTTGGGTTTTCATTAAATTTTCTATTTTTCTTAACCTATTTTGAAAATTTGGGATCAATTAGTTTAACTTGTTGGATCATGATCAAGATCCAAAAAAGTAGGATCTTGGAATAACAACTTCTCATACTTCATTTATTGAAATAATTATAAATATGTAAGTATAAAAAAGAGCTTCTTGGAAAATATGAAATTTCAGGATTACAATGAAAAGCCAAATTCCAAAATTTAAGTTTTTGACCAGTCATTCGTTTGACCGAATCGATCCATGGATTTGACTAATATGCTCAGATTAGGCATTTCAAATGAATTTATTTTACTTAAATTTGCCTAAATATTTGGAGCAAGTAGCTAAAATTTCAAGTGTTTTTACTTTTTACTTAGTCATACTCTTTAAATAATTTAAAAATTTTGTCAGGGGGTAATAATCCCCCCTCCCTTGTGTCTGCGATGGGTTAATGGGCGGGACGGGTTTTAAATTTTAAATTAATGATTAATTGCCTGATTTCTATGATTTTTTTCTATATATCTTTATTTCTTATTATAGAACCACAGTTCCTGATGCAATAATACGAAATCTCAAAGAGCAACTCGCAACAGTTTTTGACAATTACTCGTGGGCGTGCGTCAGACGAAGTCCTAATCAGAGCGGCCTAGATAGGAAGAAAAAACAAAAGTAATCAGCAATGCAATTGTGATTCTGTAATAATGATAATATGTAAAAAATTTCTTTTATACAGAATGATTTTTTTTAATAAGAATATATATATATTTATTTCTTATTATAGAACCACAGTTCCTGATGCAATAATACGAAATCTCAAAGAGCAACTCGCAACAGTTTTTGACAATTACTCGTGGGCGTGTGTCAGACGAAGTCCTAATCAGAGCGGCCTAGATAGGAAGAAAAAACAAAAGTAATCAGCAATGCAATTGTGATTCTGTAATAATGATAATATGTAAAATATTTCTTTTATACAGAATGATTTTTTTTAATAAGAAAATGTTATTTCAAACTTTAACTTACCTATTATCAGTAATTAAAAAGAAGAATAGACATACTTTCCTTCCAATTAAAATAAACACCTAACTTCGTATGTTCTTAGTTTGGTTATTAGATTTATGATTTTAATTATAAAATAATAAATGTTATGGTTCCTATCATTGGCGTATTAAGACTTTTTAGGGCCCGGAGTCCTTTTTAACGTGCCACAGCATAAAAATGACTAAAACAGTAGAAAAAGAAAAAGGTCCGCTTAATATTTTCGGAATCCCGAAATTTTAGTGCCCTAGCCCCCTCCTCTTTAATCTATCACTGGTTCCTATAGGAACTAGTTCTGGGTTAAGGGGGAGGGCTAGGGCCGTATATATACGAATCTAAAATTTTCCTTCAGCATCCTATAAGAATCTTGTTAATCCTGCAAGATCTATTAAAATATTTTTTTAGATCTTATATTATTTTATAAGAATTCCTTCAAATCCTACAAGATCCTTCAAAAGATTCTTGTAAGTCCTGCAGGGACTTGTGCATCTCATCCTATAGGATTCATGTAGGATTTGTAAGATCAGTCGTCTAGTGGCCGGGCAAATCTGCCTGGCCGCATGGGCCGGGCAAATCTGCCTGGCCGCACTTACACTGCAGTGTAAAGTCGTTACACTGCAATGAAAGCATACTTGTAACTTCAGTTACGTAACTAATATTAGGCAATCGATTTTATGATTGTACAATTATAAAATCGATTACTTATTATTAGTTGCAATAACATTGCAATAATATTGCAATAATACTGCAACAATATTGTAATATTTTAACAACAATCTTGCTATTGCTTATAAACGCATTAAATTTATGTAAAACAGAAAAATGACACGGGCAATTAGAAAAGCATCAGAATTATTTATATTTAAATGCATCTTAATTACATTTACAAACACATTACATTTGTATAATTTTATTGATATTTTATTGGACAATTATTGAGCAATATATAGCAATTTAAATTGAAATAGTATTGCAATATATTGTAATAAACCGCAATATATGTTGATTAGTGTTGTTATTTTTTTCTTTTATTCTTTGGTAAACTTTTGGTATTCTTTGTTAAAAAAAATGTTTTCACTTTTACACAAATGTAAAATTTATATATATATATATATATATATATATATATATATATATATATATATATATATATATATATATATATATATATATATATATATATATATATATATATATATATATATACATTTTAGGCTCTTTTTAAAGAGTTTTAGGGCTTATATAAGTCAACGACTGTCTAAATTTCTTGGTCGGTGATCTTTGAGATCACCGACCAAGAAATTTAGACAGTCGTTGACTTAAAGAGGTCCTAAAACATTCAAAATTCAGACCAACCAAGAAAGTTAGACAGTCCCAGTTTTGTCTTTTTAAAATATGGTCACCCTACCTAGACACGCCCTTGATAAAGGCGTGTCTAAGGTAGACCCTCGCGATCGCCATATTAAAATAAGGCGTAAGTATGTTCCAAGCTGCCTCCCAAGACAAAATAAGTTATATAATAGATTAGCAAAATTCTGGAACAAGTTACTAGAGCAATTAACTTTCTACCCCACTGTACTTTTATTTAAATGTAGACTAAACTCCTAGCTGTAAAAAAATTTTTAAAACTAATTGTTTATAGCAAGATTTTTTTCCTGCTCGCTTAATGTATATATTATATGTAAATATATGGCTACAACTATAATAAATAATAAAAATAAAAAATAAATAATGAAGTTGTAATAAAATAAAAGAAAGAAAAATTGAATGAAAGTGGAAATTTAGGATTCGCGGAAATGTCATTTTAAATTGGCTTCTATTTGCAATATTCATAATGGCTTGTAAATTAGTTACGGCCAGACGTAGATAAAATGAAAACCAGTTATATGTTAGGATATATTTTTTCATTTTTTTTTACTTTTTTAATTAATTTTGGCAAGGCTAAATGGTCGCCCGATAAATGCAGTGAGCTTGGATTTTCATCCAATTTATTATGTGGATCTTGTGAGAATTTAAAAGAGTTTGGACTGTCTACTCTAGAAGAAAGTTGTTCAAATTGTTGTGAAACTGGAAAGGAAGAAAATCCTAACCAGCGCCATGCAAGTGCAACGCTGAAAGTGTGCCAGTGAAAAATCGGAAGGTATCCTCAAGTTCAAGGTAAAAATAAACTGTTCAATTTTTTAGCTGATAAATCAATAATTTTAATAATGAAATCAATCATTTTGGCACACACATACACGCATATATATATATATATATATATATATATATATATATATATATATATATATATATATATATATAGATATATATATATATATATATATATATATATATATATATATATATATATATATATATATATATATATATATATATATATATATATATATATATATATATATATATTAAATACGTGGACTGACTTTTTTAATTTATTCATATACTGGAATGTTATATATCATTAGAAAACCTTCAAATACAGTATGTTAAAGAAAAAATTACGAAAATCTGATATTTCTATAAAAAGTTATGACGTTTTTAGTAGCAAATTTCAATATGGATTTCTTGATTAAACAACTTATTTAAAAAAAAAAAATATTATAATAAGTTGTTATAACTTTGCCAATTCTTATTCAAAAATCTATAACTAACATTATTTCAACAATTTAAGCTATTATAGAGGTTTATAACGGAAAAAAATGTAAATACTAAACCTATACCGTATAGAAGTTTCAAGAGTTCAAAAACATGCGCTGTCATTGATTGTAAAAATAACTAGTACAATCTAAAAATGTGGAAAGATGATTTATGTATGATATAAAATGTTAAACAAAACTCTAACTTGCAAACTGCAAACTACCATATGAGTAAGCATTTGTTATCTATTATCAACACACACAGATATATAACTTTATAAACAACCACAGGTCAGAGAAAAATGGAGAAAACTAATTAACTGTTCAACTCCTACATTATTGGGTCTTAGTAAATTATTTACCATAAAATATAAAATGAAAATATGTTCAGACAATTTTCCTGACAGCACTATTGTTTAAAAATCAATATTCTTCGTCAATCTTAGGTTACAATGCTCAAAGACATATATTAATAAATGTAAACAATACAAATTTTTCAATCAATTAATCATCAGATTATGTTGAATTTAAGTTATGTTAAATTTAAGATGTGATTATGTTGAATTTAAGTGTTGTTTTATAATATTATGATTATATTATTATAATTCAAGATTATGTTGAATTTAAGTGTTGTTTTATAATAGAGCATATTAACTTCAACCACATCAGTTATTACGATGAAACCAGACAAGTTTATATAAACATAATCCAAACCAATCGTGTTATTGCAATTTACTTGTATACAAACAATTATTTTAATAATGATAGACCTTGCGACTTTTATACTGGCCTTACATCTGTCAATGTGTTTCATTAGTTACATAGTGCCGTATCACCATAAATCAAAAAAAGATAAAGTGATGTTAAAAAAACATCTACTGCTGTTTTTTGAATTAAAAAAAAACCAAAATAAAAGTTATACAGCAAAGATGAATTTTTAATGATACAAAGATTAGGATTACTGACAGCTGATCTTGCTGACAGGTTTAATATATCTTTAGGATTAGCTAGTGCAATATTTTCTACATGGGTGAAAGCAGGCTTGGTCAGGAAGCGGGAGCGATCGCTCTCGATTGCTGACCACGTAAGTAATATTTAGTTGCGAAAAGCAAGCCAGATTTTTTAGTCGTTTTGAGAACATTTTAAAAAGCAAAAAAAAAGCGCAAAAGATTAATTCGACCAATGAGAGACAATTACAAAAAAAAAAAAAAAATTAGGTAAGTAAAATATCTTTAAACGCGAAAAAAATTTAAGCTAAATAAATTACGTTTAGAACAAATATTTTCGAAACATCGCTCTTTTATAATTTTTTTTATAAAATTAAGCAATATTTTTATGTAAAATAACAACTTACGATTGTTTAAAAAGGAAACAAATGCTCTTTATTTAGCAAAGTTTGCAAGTTTTAGTTTTATTTAAGCTAAATTATTTTATAAATAAAAAAGTTAATTTTTTCAATACCTATTTTATGTTTTGCGTAGTTTGAAAAGTTTAACATATTTGAAGCAATTCTTCTTAGTAAGATAAACAAATGAAGTAATTAAGTCATTGAATTACTAAAGAAATTAAATTAACAAGATAGAAATCAACTAGAAAGGTTAAAAATACTATATGACGAGGAAGCGAAACTGCTTCACAATATCGCTATCAATTATTTGCTATATATATTTGTGTTCTGTCATGACCTCATGCGCGGTGCTAGTTTATCCGCGAGTTTTTTTGTATGCGTTGTTTGAATTTAGTAACCAGAAACTTCTTATATGTTTGTTACATAATTAGTTTTATTAACTTTAATGATTATAACTTCATTAAAAACACAATTATTTTTGTAAGTCTTTGTTTAAATCATAAAAATTGCTTTAAAAGATACATTACGATAAAAAACTGATACACAAAATTACATTTACATAAAGAATACATACTTTTTAAATAAAAAATAAGAATATACTAATAAAATCTATAATTTATAATAAACTTTTAAAATTTTGACAATTTAATTAATATATATTTAAAACATTTATTTTTGTAAACAAATAATATATTTTCTTAAAACAATTTATGCTAGAAATCTCAAAATGTAACAAATCGTGAATAATACAATTTCTAAAACATTTCAACAGAATACTCTAGAACTTTAATCAGCTTAATCAGCTTGTAATATATATTAATCAGATAATCACATTTTTTGAATAAAAAATATGCTTAATCAGCATATTTTTTGAACCAATAGAATTAGTTTGTATATTAATTTGGTGGGTTTTTAGTGTTCGCGAATATTCTTTTTATTCTTTTGCGCCAAGATGTTTTGAGAACATTCAAGTTTATCATGCTTCCATGTATGTCCATAAAACAAAAATTTTTTGTTTCGTACATAAACTTAAATGTTCTCAAAACGACTAAAAAACCTGGCCAGTTTTTTGCAGCTAAATATAATTTCCGTGGTCAGTATTCGAGAGCGATCGCTCCCGCTTCCCGACCAAGCCTGTGAAAGCTTCTAGCTCACTTTATAAGCACATGGTTTTTGTTCCAGGTAAAGGTTATAAGACAGACAATGGCAAACAGATTTAAGAACTTAAATTATTCAGACTTGCACTAAATTTCAGATATAACAGAGTTTTTTATTGAAATACATAAAAATTTAGACTTATAGAAAAAAACATGGAGTTTACATTGGAGCATAAATTTTACATTAGAACTGTGAAAAGGTATATTTCGAACTTGTTTCTAGGTAAAGGGTGCGTCAAGAGATCTAGAGTAGGCGCTAATCCACCACCTACACCTCACAAAAAAACACTTTTTCTTCATAAAATAGTGTTTTTTTTTTTTAATGAAATTGATAATATTTAAGCATAACAAGTTGTTATTATTTTATTCTACATCAATAGCGAATATTACAAGTCTATCTTAAAGTTGGGTGTTTGGTTGTTGATAAGGTTTAACACACCCTATCAAAATTTTATTCTTTTAAATATTTCAATATTTACTAATTTGAGTAAATAAAATTATAAAAAATAAATATAATATTTCAATACTTTGAAGAATAGTAGTTTGTGGTGTATAAATTTTTTTTATTGGAGAAGCCTTTACTGGAGAGGGTTTATGCTACCCCCTCTCCCCCCCCTCCCTGCTGCCCTAAACCTGAAAAAAAAAATCTTTTAATGAGAATTTCACAAAAAATGTTTAAATGCTTTTTTAAACAGAGAGAAATAAGAACAAAAAACTATTTTACCACATTACAAGATGCGTCTGAATATCCATTTTGTCATGTGAAATTAACCATTCCAACCTAAAAAAAACGTGAAAGTAAGCCAGAGCTTTCTATCATAAAAATTTGCAAGCCACAAAACTTGCTCTACCATATTTGCAAGCTACAAAACTTGCAGTACTCATTTTGCAAACCACAAAACTTGCTGTGCCATATTTGCAAACTACAAAACTTGTAATACTCATTTTTAAACCTCATCTTGTTCATTGCTAACACAATTTTGACTCCCATAAAATAATAGCCTAGCAATTCGTAACCCTCGCATTCTAGAGATTTTAAGACTTCACAACATTAAATAGCAATTGTGTCTAGAGGATGCAAATGGTAGTTGAACTCATTTAAATTCTTCCCTTATGTATTACAAATTTTGGTAATGGTAAGATGGTTCTTCCCCTTTAATGAACGACATTCATTAAAGGGGAAGCGAATGAAAATATTAATAAATAAAAGCTAAATGATCAACTGCTCCACATATATGGCCTTACATAATTAACAGCTGTTCCACCAGGTAACTGGTCTAGAGCAATGGCCTGACAGTTTTTTTCAGATGTGAGATGAACAGTATTGATATGAGCACCCTCTTGTGTTGTTGCATCAAATGCAAGAGTAAGATGAGAGTTACTTATAGCCCATTCTGCTGTTTGCAGTTCTGCTATACTGCCAAGCTCACTAGTAATTTGCTCAATAGTCGGGCGATGAGGAATATCAGTAAAGTTAATAACCAAATATTGCTCAACTTTTGCAATTAGAAATGGAATATTACCTGTTGGAACATTTGCTTATAACATGCCATAAGTTATCATTTTCATTTGTAAAGGGTCGCTTGTATCATTTGACAATACCATTTTGAATTTGACCCTCTTTTGTTTAGAAAATATCATTTTTTTAATTGAGCAATAAACATTTTGCTTGCCTTACTATCTGTATTATGTTTTAGTTTTATATGTATTAAGTTTTGTTTTTCTTTTATTTTTGATGCCTTTGATTTGTTTTAAGATTGCGAATTAACCTACTGTAATTATATGTTTTGATTTGTTTTTTTAGTTCTCTAACTTCTGTCCTCAAAGCTTTAATATCTTCTTTTCTTTTGATGCTTTGCCTGAATACTTTTAACTTATATGGCATGCTTTTGTATTTTGATTTAGTTTTTGTTATTTTTTTCCTGTGTTCTCTGTTTAAGCTCGCTAACTGAGAAGATAAATATGATAAGCTATCAGGCTTGGTCGGGAAGCGGGAGCGATCGCTCTAGAATA